AGTGTGGGTGTGGGGGGTTGGAGTGGGGAAGGGATGGGAAGGGGAAACAAAGGAGGAGGCGACAATGCTTGATAAGAAATGTACTCACTATCTTGCCCATGTAATTGTCACCCCTCTGTACGGTATTTTCACAATAATTAAAAAAAAAGAATTATGATAGGTACCTTTGATATTTTTCTCAGATTCACCCTTAGTTAACCTTTTCTGCTAATGTACTTTTCTGATCATCTCCAACCTCCTATCATTCAATTTATTTTCTTTATGTGCAATCACCGTGGCTTTTCTTCCACTTGTAAATTGACTACCTTCACCAGAATGAGAGCTCCAAGAACATTCAGAGCTTTCTCTTCTTTACATCACCTGGCTCAATGACCAACACATGGTAAGTGCTCACCCAAGATTGCCAAATGAGAGTGATGACTATAACGAAAGACACGTGAATAAATGAAATGAGATTACAGACACGTGCACGTGTGCACATATACATGTATGTATGCATATGCATACGTAAGTTGTTCTTTAGTGAGCTAACTAGTTTGTAGAAAAGATAATCATGCTTACTTAGAGATAGGTCTACTATGTAATTTTCACCCATCCATTCTTTTCAGTGGCCTATATGAAATTATACATATATAGGAGACTCATCATGGTGTTTCCACACATGCACATACTATGTTTTCATCCCGTCATAATATATTACACCCATCCCCTCTATTACTCTTTTTTAAAATCCTTCTTTTATCCCTTTCCAATTTACCTCTCTTGTAGCCCTTGAGCTTGGTGGTGTAAAATTCTTTCAGTGTTGCTGCTTGCAAACTTTCTTAAGCAGTGTTTGGAAAGTAATAGTGCTCAAGTATCTTTATACTCAATAGAGTTTAACTTCAGGCTTCCACTTTCTGCACTTCTAAGATTGAACCAGGAGAGTGGTGGTTAGGAAGCAAAGAGTCATGAAAGTCCTTTACTAGATGTAGTTTAAGCAGCAGATGATATTCTTGTATTTGGTAGGATTTCCTGCAGTAAGAATTGTGAATCACAGTTAAGGAGAAGTTTGGGCAACTAGAACCCTCTTTGTCTCCCGTCTCTACGGGCTGAGCTTTATATGTTTCAGAGGATTTTTGGTGTGGGCACAAGTGGAGGGTTATTTATTTTAACAGGACAAATATTACTTCTCATGTGTGACTCAGAGTCTCCTATTTGGGCAAAAGTGCCCTCATTACCAAAGGATTCATATCTTTCCATCCTGTGGGTCTGTATAACTTGCTATCATCTTTTTCAATGTTGATGGGTCTTGGTTGTGATGAACCTTCCTTACAATAATAACTGCAACCGCCATCTAAATGGCTGTTCTTTACTAATGAAGGCCTTTTATTGGCCTCACTTGACTTGATTATTACAATCATGCTATGATGCATGTAAGCAAGTTAATATTATGCATTCCACCTGTTTTATAAATGTAAAAATGGAGGTAGAAATTACATAAATAAACTGGCCCAGGTCACTCGTTAAATTAGAATTTGCTAAATTAGAATCGGCTAAATTAGAATCTAGTTTCATGACTTCTACAGTTTACTTAATACCCAACTGAAACTTAGGTGAGTCCTCATTTTTTTGTAATTATACCAAGAAAAGTGAAGCTTGAAAGAAAGAAAGTATTAGGGAAAACCATGTAAATATAATCATGGGTAACATGAATTTTTCCTGGGTTGACTGTAGACTATGGTGTTGCAGAATCTTAAATGGTTTCTCCATCCTGTTTACCATATGTAATGAAGCATCTGCCATTCTGAAAGGTTCACTCCTGAGTCTCTCCAAGCAATATTGCCCTGATCTGAATACTTTTTAAAGATTGGCAAGTAGAGGTTGGCCAAGAAGGACCTTTGCTTAGTTTCCTTTAATCTGTAACGTGGTTCACAGGTAACTGTTCTGGCAGAATGCACCGGTATTCAAGAGCCATGATAGAGTGGGTACACTCTATCAGCTCCAGAGAAGATCTCAGAAATATTTCAAAGATGTCAACTGCCCGTGTATTTGAATGCTACATAATGACACCTTGCTTTGGATTTCTTACCACGGAAATGAATAAGCATTGTTGTGAAGTCAATTATTCCTAGATCTGAAACTCTACCAGTTTCTACCTGTGAAACCAGGCACATTGCTCAGTTTCCCTTAAGCTTTGTGTTTTTATCTATATGATGAGATTAACTATAACACCTGCCCCATGGGGTTATGATGAGGCTTAAATAAAACAAAGCCCACGAAGGATGTGGCTCATTAATTATTGTTAAGGGTCTCATACAACAAATCCACTCCTGTGTATTCATTAAAAACAATAGAAGTCAACAATGTTAGTGCTCTCCTCTTAAAAGATATTAGCATTTTTGTCTTAATTACAACAGTATTCACAGTAGCTAAGATATGAAAAGAATTGAGATGCTCATCAGGATATGAGTGAATAAACAACATAGCATGTGCATCCCAGGGAATATTATTCTATCTCAGGAAAGCAAAAGACCCTGCAATGAACAGCACAACTTGACCTTGAAGACATCATAATACGTGAATAAGAAGAGTGCAGAAATGCTTTATGTTCATTTCATCAAAAAAAAGATTCCTATCAGATTGGAAGAAATTAAATTAACATTTTGATTTTGCAATCAGAAAAATCTTGATGGAACAAAAACTTACTGGGTAAATTTAGTAAATTTTAATTTACTTCATCACTTGCTAATTCATAAGACCATTTTCCTGGGTTCTCAGTTTGACTAATTTTATCCTTTACTCTGTGTTGACTGGTATTTGGGCTTGTGCCAGGGTAGGGGTTGAGGTAAGCAATGAGAGCCGGTTGCTCTCCAAGCCACTGTTAGAATTTAGGTTAGCTGACCAGTAGGCCAGCCAGCTCCTTACTTTGTTCTTACCTAGTTCACCTTCTCTCCCTCACCCCTCCATGGCCTTCAATTTTGTGTTTATTATTTTCTTACTTCACTTAATAATGAACACATTTGTGAATCCCTAGACAGCAAGTCATTTCATTTACATCTGTTTGAATAACACAGGAACACAAAGGATCACTATAATTATTCACCCACAAATTGGATAAATGGTACAAATAAATTCCCAGGAACGTGATCTACAAAGACTGAATCATGAAGAATAGAACATCTGAACCAATCAAGAAATGGTAAGGGATCAAAGCAGTAATCAATGACACGGATCAGGATGCATTGTACACATAAATGGGCACTGTTGAATTGACCACTTCCTTTGTGCAATTATTTAAAAAAAATTTTAAAAAATCCTCCCAACAAAGAAAAGCTTAGGACCAGATGACTACAGCTTTCTTAAAACTAATTTCACGTTTTCCCCTCTATAATCTATGGACATATTCTAGTTCCCTTGAAATGTACACAGTAAACAACTCTAACTGGGGAACTACAAAGTAGGCTAATTTGAATGTGGAGTGGGGAATTCCTTTGAGATAATTAGTTTTGGCCAAGGAGAGGTCCAGTTGCTCTTTTTAGACACTAAGAGCACAAAGTGCCTGAGTGACAGAGAGAAAGCCAGTCACTGTATCCTCTTCCTGCTTGCGACCCTGACTTCAGATAGGAGAGACTGGAAAGGCATATCAGTGGGAGAGATGGCGATCCTCACAAAAGAATCATGGAGTCAACAGTACTTTTTATTCTCATTCTCTATCCAGATTTCCTATTTGGTAACTCTATATTCCATACCACATTGGTATCTCTTACTCCCAGACAACCACTTTTCTTTTAGATTTGACATGCATTTGTAATTTCCTAGGAGCTCAGAGTTGCTTAACATTCTGTTCTTCACCGGGGATTTGATTCAGACTCAAACAAACCAAAGGGTGTTTTTCAGAATGTGGAGAGAATGATTGCTAATGGGTAAAATTTCAGTCAACAGAGAAATCAATAATGCTGATTTGCATGGAGCGGTTATAGTTTCCCTCCTTGTAGTTAAAGTCAAGTTTTATCACAGACCCCCCCAACAATGACTGAACAGAAGGACAAATCAGCATGGTACAAATGGACCATGTCTACTTTATTCTTTGTGAGGAGGGTGGAGAGGAGATTTCTCTTAAGACATATTTAATTTGATGTAACTAAACTTGAGAAAATTCTTTGACACAACTTACAGTCTCCATAATAGAAAATGAAAGTCTTTCTTTGGTCCATGTGACTGAGAAAAGATCTCCAATCATTCTGCTCTGGTGGATATGGAATTAGGCCACCAAATCGTATACTCGAATCTGTTGTTTTGTTTTGTTTTTGATTTTAGCTGAACATAAGATACAATGGAACTGTTCAGTTGGTTGCTGTTGGAACTGATTGAAGTTTCCTAAAAGTTTTTTTTAAAATTGAAATTCTAACTTCTCCCACTATATATACACACTAATTACAAACATATATAGGTCCAGAAATGAAAGTCTGAAGCAATATATTCAAATCTTTGAAGATAGTTTAATGTTATTCAGAATAAATTTAAAGAGAAAGAACTCAAATGTTTGAGAAGACATAAGCAAAAATTTGTACTTCCTAAGGGACCTCTTAAATCAAGATAATTTCTTTTAAGATGAGTTGCCCTGTTTACCGAAATACTCCATTGGAAGTCTTTCCTCTGGGTGGCTTACTTCTTCCTATGTCAGCTTCATTTGTAAATTTTACCAGGTTCCTGCACTGATGATCTTATGAGGTCTATTGTTCTATCTATTAAGATTCCATTAAGTTCATGATTCTAATGAAAAAAATCAAAACACTCATTTCCTTTTTGTCACTGTGGCCAAAATCACCTGACGGACATTTCTTCTGCTTCTTATAGGCAAGAAGACCTTTAGAGAAGGGGTTTTTGTATGTGTCTGGGATTCACATTCCTGGCACACTCAGGGATATCAATGGTGCCGCTGGCTGATTCCTAGTAAAGCAGGAGAGATCCTCATACAGCCACCAGTCCCCCGAGAGATACAATTAAAGGCGTGCTCTGCATCATTCATAATAAGCATCCATCCAGAGAGCTGCAGATTTCTTCAATGCCCTGTGAGAAGAGTAAATGAAAGCATCAGGAGGCGAAACCCCTCATGGAAAAGAAGTTTCCAAATATCTTTCCTCTACATGGTATCAGGACAATATGACTTCCAGCTCCATTTGGTAAATTGGTCAAAAATATCAAATTGATTTGGAAAATAAGTTCCTCTTCCTTTTCTGAAAAATTGAGTTTAGGTTTCATATTTTTTCTCTTCTGCACTTAAATATTTGCAAGCCAGTCTGTCCTATATCCATTTACCTACAATATGTTATAATGAAGAAGGCATTTTTCTATGCTCTGGATTATACAGTGATGAAGGAAACAGATGTAAATCCTGTCTATGTGGAGTTCTTGGTACGGTTTTAGAGACATGTAATAAACAATTTATTGCATACTCAAATAGTAATTTATTTAAACTCAGTAGATCATTATTAACAAATAATGAATTACTTCAGTATGGCTGTGACAAAAGTCATCAGCTAAGAGAAGCAGGTGTCGTGAGATCGAGTTAGGGATTTGCTCTTGGATATTAGTGAAGATTAATCTGAGGAATAGGAATTTAAGAGGAGCCCCATTGAGTGAATGGGAATTGTCAAAGGGACATTGAATAGATGCAGCAAATTGGAAGGACATCCATGAAGAAGAGAAAAGTGGTAAAGGAATGAGAGAGTAGGACCAGGGCAGGAGTTTGGTAGCAACTGAAAGGAGAAAGGGACGTGTGGTAGGTATAAAAGTGGGGGCTTTGGAGAAGGATAGGATAAGATCAGGCATGGCCGCACTGACCTTTTAAAATAAAGGAGAAAGTTATTAAACCTGGATCAGGCTGGGACCAGCACAATGTCTTCTAGAAAAGTGTCTGGGAATGCCTTGGGATGAATATGGATTTTCAGTTTTTATAGCTCTCACTCCTCAGAGCCAATCACCCCCAGTTGGATTCCCTTTGTGTTCACTAGCCTATCAACAACAGTGGACCTGAAGATTTGATCATCTCTTTCCCCACTTAAATTCTAAAGCATATGGGAAGTCTTTAAGGGATACAGACATAAATCACACATAGCTTTCATTTCAAGAAGCTTGAAATATGAGTTTGATGCTGGTGGTTTTTGCCTGTAATCCTAGCTGCTCAGGAGGTTAAGAACTGAGGATCATGGTTTGAAGCCAGCTGGTCAGGATGTGAGACTCTTTATCTTCAATTAACCAGCAAAGAACCAGAAGTGGAGGTCTGGCTCCAGTGGTAGAGTGCCATCCTTGAGCAAAGAAGCCAAGTAAGAACACAGAAGGCCCTGAGTTTAAGCCCCAGGACCAACACAACGCACACACTCACACACAAAATCGGAAGAAGACTAAGGAATTTTCACTTAGCTATAGAAAATTATAGGTAAATGATAAACTTTTTTTGTTTTTTGTTTTTTTTGGTGCTGGTCTTGGGGTTTGAACTTAGGGCCTGGGCACTGTCCCTGAGCTTCTTTTGCTCAAGGTTAGCTCTCTACTACTTGAGCCACAGTGCCACTTCTGTTTTTTCTGAATAGTTTATTGGAGATAAGAATGTCACAAATTTTTCTGCCTGGGCTGACTTTGAACTGTGATCCTCAGATCTTGGTCTCCTACTCAGCATCCAATGAACATTTCTTCCCAGGAGAACTGCAGTTTGAACTAAAGTCTTTGTGCTTACTAGGCAAGTGCTCTTCCACTGGACTCATGCCCCCAAACCTATGGTACATATTTCAGTTATCAGATTGTTGCTGGAGTTGTTCTCTGCAGAGTCCCATGTTTATGCTGGGCTCACAGGGAACTACCTTAACCAAAGGTTGTGGGAGGTATGATTCATAGGCCAGTGAATTTGGTGGGGACTGTCAGTGAGGGAAACATGAGAGCTGTCAGCCAAGAGAAATTATGTTCGCACCTGACAATATCTCCAAACGCCTTCAACATGGGCTTGTTCACATACTGCAATCCGTGCTTGGCACACAGTGACTTCACCAAAGGGGCCACTTTGTGGTAATTATGACGTGGCATTGTGGGGAATAGACTATTGAAACAGAAAATACAAGTTAGATGAAAGAAAGAAAAACATCAGGGGTATTTTAGTTCCTGTATTACTACATAAAATTACATCAACAATGCAAACCCAACCTTGACCTTACACAATCCTTCTTGGAAGTTCAAACGTCCTGCCAAAACACTCTCATCCTATTTCTTAACATGTCTGTCAGCCATGTAGGTGGCAAATGTTTGAGAAATGATAACAGGAAAAATATCACCCCCCCCAATGCATTTACTCTGGGACAAGTCAGGTAAAAGTATGGTTCATTGTATCATGTGAATGACCTCCTCTGTCTGTAACTCTCTTTCTCTCTATCTAACTTTCCATCCTGTGAAGAGGTGAATATTCATTCATAAGGGTCCAGTTATGGCACACTGGGAAAAGCTCAAGGACAGTAAGAAGAATCGAGGAGATACAGATTTTATTCAAGGTCATGCAACAATCCATCAGGTAGCATTCTTGTTTTTTAGCCTCCTCTTTGATAAAATATGAGTAACAGCCCTTTGATTATTTTTTTCTGAGGGTTTTAAAGACTAACATAAAAGAGAAGATGAGAAAAAAATCCCATGAACAGGCAGACATCAGATCTCTGTCCTTCACTGCCTTTCTCCCAGATATTGTTTAGATAAAGAGATGAGGAAATTATCTTTCTGAATTTTCTAGAGAGATTGGCTATCCAATTTACCATTATTTTCTATTAAGTTTATGTTCAATAAACTGACCTATTGGTAAAGTATTTACAAATACTACTTGGGAATGGGATAAAGAATAGATTTGATGGTTGAGTATTTCATAATTTTGGCTCTAAAAAGACATTTAAATTGTCATTAAATTTCAATAAAACTTCGTAACTCATGTTATATGATTCTTTCCCCCCACTTGGATTTAACCAACTAACCAAATGTTCATGTACACATGTTAACATGCGCATACACAGACACAGACACAGACACACACACACACACACACACACACACACATACATGGACACACAGACACAGACACAGACACAGACACAGACACACACACATACACAACACTCTCCAATTTCTAAGACTCAATATAACCAGAAAAAGAGTCACTGGTACATTTATACTCTTCCACTTCATTTTCTCACAATTAGGGAATCTTTTTCCTTTCTTTTTGCCCTCCCCCAACCAGTGACCCCAATGGAAAGATGGTAGACTTTAGAGAATCCTAGTTTGTTTTAGCTCTTCTGAGTTTCTGAGTGGAAGAACTGCACCCAGGACTATGTGTGGGCTGTTCCTTATGACTTCCCTTCTTCTAGCAAGGATTGTCTCTATCACTCACTGGTGCTCAATTTGGAAGTTCAGGTGCCCCGTGAACCAATCGTTGAAAAAGGACTGTTCGATATTGCATGTGGCCAAAACCTGCAAAGGAAAAGCTTCCATTAGATAGGAAATGTAAAAACAAATGCTTATTCTTTTATGCAGACAACTGCCAACAGGTGCTTAGGAATACATTCCTGAGTGTAAGAATTGTAGCAGATATAAAAGATAACACAGTCCCAGGTCTTAAGAAGCTCAAAAAGATGATGAGTTTTTTTTTTTTTTTGCCAGTCGTGGGGCTTGAACTCAGGGCCTGGGCACTGTCCCTGAGCTTCTTTTTGCTTAAGGCTAGCACGCTACCACATAAGCCACAGCACCACTTCTGGCTTTTTCTGTTTATGTGGTACTGAGGAATTGAACCCAGGGCTTCATGCATGCTAGGAAAGCACTCTACCACTCTAAGCTACATTCCCAGCCCTGATGAGATTTTTTTCGTTGTTGTTGTAAAGATACAGTTACATGAGTAAGGTAATGAGTACATTTCCTATCAAGAATTGTTACCTCCTCCTTTGTTTTTCCCTTATTATCCCTTCTCTCCCCACCTCCCAACTCCTCCCCTGCCTCGGAAGTTGTAAAGTTCATTTTCAACATAGAGTCTTGTATGTCTCACTGTTACAATGGTCAACCTGTACCCTTATTTCAGCATTTTGTTATTTCCCTTCCCCTCCTCAAATTAGAAAAGTGTATATACAAGATGCCCTGCCCTGATGAGATGTTTTTTAAAAAGACATTTAAAAAGACAATGAAAGCCGGGCGCTGGTGGCTCACGCCTGTAATCCTAGCTACTCAGGAGGCTGAGATCTGAGGATCGCGGTTCAAAGCCAGCCCGGGCAGGAGAGACCGTG